GGCCGATGCTCTATCCACTGAGCCAAACCGGCTAAGGCTGAAACTTATTAAATCATTCAGAAAAAGTGTATGTGTGTATGTGTGTAGATCACACAAAAAAATAAATAAATAAAATGCTAGCAATAAGTGAATGTAACAACAGGTGGCCATGTTTTTGTAATATTGTGCAGATTTTTGTAAATTTGGAATTGTTTTCAAATAAAAAACCTTAAAAAGAATCTATAGTTTCACTTAAAACGTGGAAGGAACTCTAGCTTACGTAAGTGAGGCATCTTGGACTTGTTGACGCGCAGTGACAGCTCCTGGCCATCCTCACTTCCCCTGCGCTCCTCTCAGAGAGGCTGAGAGCTCAGCCAAGCGGGTCTAATTACTCCCGGCCAGAGCTGCCAGGAACCTTTTGGTTCTACATCCTGTCACACTGGGTAAGTTTAGCTGAGGTTAGTTTCATGATGCATTATACATAAAAGTAACCTGAGTAGCATTTCTTTTTTCTTTTTTTTTTTCATTTATTCAACAAATATGTGTAGTACAAGCCAACTTCTGGGCCTACTGCTGGAGACTGCACTTTCTCCCTGTTGATGATCCAAAAGTATTTTTCACAAAAGCATTCAATCTGCTACTAATCAGAAACAACTTTACCTCCCAAAGGCCTCCCAAATCTGCCCCCTTCTCTCCATCCTTGTGTTGACTTTCCTCTGATCATCTCCCCTTGATCAGCCGCTTCTCTGCCTCTGTTCAATTCAGGTCAAGGGCATGTACCTTGGATCAGGCTCCATCCCTGGCCCTGGTTTGGACATGTGTGGGAGGCAACCAACCAATGTGTCTCTTTCACATCAATGTTTCTTTCTCTCTGTCTCTCCCCCTCCCTTCCACTCTCTCTGAAAATCAATGGAGAAAATATCCTCGGTGAGAGTAAGGACTAACAACAACAAAAGTGGAACGAGACCGTGTCACGGGCACAGAGTGACACTAGGAACATCTATCCAAAGGACATTGCTGACTTTTGGGAACTGGATCTATGAATTTGGCCCTCACAGAACTGACCATGCTGAGTTTAGTCTCTGGCGGAACCAGCCAACCAGAAAACCAGCAGAATAAGCATTTCAGCCGTTTTTCAAGCTGACTATGATTACTGTTTCAGGTGATGGGTTTCAGGGGACTTTTCTATTTAATCCATGATTATAGCGAGGCCTCCATAATAATCAACTTAATGCTACCATTATGCAAATCACTGCCTCACAGGGAGAGGAGCCCTGGTGGAGAAAGAAGGCTCCACAAAGCAAGAATGCTCAGGAAACGAACTGCTTGGGTTAAATTACTGTGCTGTTTAAGTTTTTTCAGTTTCCTTTGATTTGAGCCTGAGTTATGCGACCTGCTTTGCCACCGTCCTAAAGATCACTGACACCAGGCTTCACAACCCAGGAGCGTGCAGCAGGGTCTCAGGTCTCACCCATTTCTTCTCGCAACTGCAGAAGGGACAGGCACTGAGTAAAAAACCAGATTAGCCCAGCTAGTGTGGTGGAGAATCAACCTAGAAACCAGGAGGTCACGGGTTTGATTTCTGGTTAGGGCACATGCCCAGGGTGTGGGCTCAATCCCCAGTAGGGGGTGTGCAGGAAGCAGCCAATCCATGATGTTCCTCACTCATTGATGATTCTCTCTCTGTATAATTTTCCCTTCTTCTCCCTAAAAATTAATAAAACATATTTTTTTAAAAAAAACCCACAGGCCATTCCATGGAGACAGCCAGTAGAAAAATAACATATCAACTTTATTGTTATCCTCTGCTAATTATGAAGAAATCTAAGAAGTGGAATGTTTAAGTTAGCTGTGACTTTACCAGCTAGTTATCCCATGGTAGTAGAAGAATTTTAAGGCTCTGTAATCTATCTATACAATAAAAGGGTAATATGCTAATTAGGGCGGAGTCTTCTGGATGACCTTCCAGACAAAGTTGCAGGGGCTGTGAAGGGCCCAGGCTCAGGTTGGCAGTGGCAGCAGCAGCAGAGTAATGGGGGTGGTGCCTTCACTTGATCCGCCAGGTCACCTCCCACAGAGGGAAGCCAGACTGTGGCTTAGGCCAGGAGCCAAGGCAGAGGCAATTAGGGGTGATCAGGCAGGCAGGCAGGTGTGCAATTAGGAGCCAGCAGTCCAGATTGTGAGAGGGATGTCCGACTGCCAGTTTAGGCAGTCAGACATCCCCCAAAGGGTCCCAGATTGGAGAGGGTACAGGCTAGGCTGAGGGACCCCTCACCCCCCATGCATGAATTTCACGCACTGAGCCTCTAGTCTATATATATATAAAAGGCTAAGTGATTAATCGTATGTCCATCTGTCTGACTGACCGGCCTGTACATATGACACACACTGGCAATTTAAAAGTAAATGTTGACTTACATATGCGTGATACATATGAAGCTCTGAAGTATTAACAGAATCTACGGAAGGAGAGGTTGGTCTGATTCCAAGAATTGATTTGTCCCCATCTGACGCTGGCCTCCCATTTAAATTAATTTGAAGACAGTTTCCCGTGATGCCAGCATTTGTGATGAATATTAATAAATCACAAGGATGAACTCTAAACAGAGTAGGAATATTCCTACCTAAATCCATTTTGGGACATGATCAGTTATAGATTGCTTTCTCTCAGTTTCGAAAAGTATATGTTGTTAAAGTTGTAAATACTTCATCACAAGGGAAATTAGTCAAGCAAGCTGAAAGTGCTTTTACTCTTAATGTCGTATACAGGGAGATATTAGAATAAGTTTAATCAATTTATCAGTCATTGTTTTTATCAATGTTGTTTTTATATCATATCTTTGTTGTTGTTATAGCATGTTATTATTGTTTATTAATCAATTTATGTATTATTTTCATATACATTTTACTACTTTTCTTTCATCTCTGACACTTCTATTATAGAGAAAAGGCAATTAGTGATATTAAAATATTTATTCTAATTAATTTCCTTTCAATGTGCACAAACCCATGCACTGGGCCAGTAGTAATAGCATAAAAGTATTTCACCAAATGACCTCACTCACAAAAATAACTTAGATATAAAGAAAAAATGACTTTGAATAATAATAATGCTTCCATGTAAAGTCATCATTTTATCATCACATTCCTATTAAAAACTTGAAACATTATTTTGAATGCATTGAACAGATGGTACACCTTGCATTGTCAAGTGAAACCAGTGGCAAGATAGAAAAGTAGATAACTCTACTATCTAAATTAATTACTTATTCTATTTTTTGGATGATTTTAATTCAATCTTATATATTAGAACATTTAAGATTGATATGTCTAATCGGGAGTTGAAAACTGGATTTCCTTCAAACTAGACTGTTAAAAGAACTACTCTGAGGTTTTTGGATTTTTCTTTCGCTTCCCTCCATCTCACTTCCTCCTTCCCTTCCTTTTCCTGACCCAATGATATTTTCCCATTGATTTTTTTTTATTAAATTTTAAAAGGTTTTAAATATATATTTTATTGATTTTGTACAGAGAGGAAGGGAGAGAGATAGAGAGTTAGAAACATCGGTGAGAGTCATCGATCAGCTGCCTCTTGCACACCCCCTACTGGGGATATGCCCACAACCAAGGTACATGCCCTTGACCGGAATCGAACCCGGGACCCTTCAGTCCCCAAGCCGATGCTCTATCCATTGAGCCAAACCAGTCTCGGCTTCCCATTGATTTTTAAAGAGAGAAGAAGGGGGATGGAGAGACAGAGAGAGAAACATCAATGTAAAAGAAACTCATAAACTGGTTGCCTCCCACACATGCCCTGACCAGACTGGAAGCCTGCAACTGAGATATGTGGCCTTGGCCAGAATCGAACCTGGGACCTTCCAATTGCGGGCCAATGCTTTATCCACTGAGCCAAACTGGCTAGGGCTGGACTATTATTTCTTTAAAAATCTGGAATTTACCCCTCATTAAAAGTTGAAATTCATTTCAAAATCCAATTTTAATTTCATCAATAATAGCAGCACGTCACACAGTGAAAGGAAGGATCACTATATTTTTCTAAGAAAGGAAATGATTAGTAATATCAGGTTTTTTAATCTGGTGGCACTTAATCTCAGTAGATCAGCTCATTGATTATTCAATGGATATTTACTGAGCACCTGCTACCTGTGAGGTATCACTTCTAGCTGTAGTTACAGCCACACTTTTCCTGTGTCTCACCTTGCAAATGCATAAGCACAGATTTTATTAACCTCCTTTTTTACAACAAATATCTCAACAATTCCATGCCATTCACTTTGAACTTGGCTCTGCATAAAGTTAGAATTGAAGAGAGAGAAGGGTGGATTCTATTCTCACTCATTTACCCCATAGCAATACTAGCACTTCAGGGAGCATTATTTTCACAGGTGGATTAAAAGCAAGTTTTAATATCCTTGCCTTCTTTTTCCCAGTTTTCTAAAAGCTACCTGTCAAGAAATGAAGGCACCTCCAGGTTCTGACAGATCCTGTGCCCCTTACCAACACAATCCTTAGGACACAGCCATGTGCTGCAGGGGGAGGACCAGCACTTTTGCACCCTTGCCTTACATTCTCCTTTGAAAGCATCCAGAATTTCCCATCTGATTGTTGACTCTCTACAAATGGTTTAATTTACTCTTGGACAAAATTAGGACACTTTTTAGCCTGTATTCAGGCTGCACCCTTCTGATTACATGAATCCTTCGCAGACAGCACCGAAGAGCAAATTACACTAAGAAAGACAATCGCCTGCTATTCTCTTTTCTGCTCTAGGAAGGTTCGTTTCCCTTTGCTAAAACTAAAGTGACATTTCTCCTTTACCAACTCATTCGCTTCTACCCGGCCCCTCCTCAAGCAGCTGTGCACTTAAGTCCAGTAACCAAGTTCCATGTGTTTGCTGCTGAAGAAAACACAGCAGTCATACTTCACAATGTCTTTGCAGTTATCAATGAGGAGACGAAATCCACCTTCTCAGCTAAGCTAGGTGCCAAACACAAACTTACATCTTTTCCCAGTACTCTGAGTTCAAACTGCGTCTCCTTGAAGTGGACCTTTGTAATTCGAGGCCTGAAAAGAAAAAAAAAAAAAAAAAAAGCAAAAGATGGTGGTGGTGGTGCTATTTTGCAGAATGAACCTTTCAGAAGTTCAGTGGGAAAAAGATTGGTTCATACTGTTTCCCTCATATACTACTACGATCATTGTAGAGTTCTCTTCCGCTCTATACACCTCCCTAAACCAAACTCCATTCTCATTCTGTGCTTCTCCGGTACACGCACCAAGCTTGGATTCCCTGGCCCCAACAGTGCTGCCTTCCCAGACCCAGTCAATTTCTCTTCCCTTCCCAGAGCCAGAGAATCCTTGGTCCCTATCACACCTTCCCACCTAGTTAGAACTTAGAGTAGTCCTGGGAACCCAGCCCAGCAGTGCACACTGGAACTCATAGGAAATCCTATTACACACAGCTTCCACAGACAAGAGTCTAGAATCACAGAGAAAATTTCTCTGAAATTTACAGAGAAAATATTATACTGATATGCACTGGGAGGAGCTTTATAGCCAATTTCACTCATTTTTGTCAACCACTAGAAATGTACCTGTTTTCTTTTCCCAACCCTTTCACTGCCACCCAAGTCCCGTAAACCCAAAACATACAGTGTATAACTTGAATACCAACTCCCCCATAGTTGATACTTACCAGAAATACTTCCCCACTTGCTTTTTATTCTTGTAAACAACAACACCAACTGGAGTTAATCCTAAGAAATACTCAGATTTGTTTTCTCCCTGCAAAAACAAACATATGCCTATAACTATACATGTATTCATTTAAACGCACACTATCAAACTGTAATTGGCCATTCAAACATAATTTGTCAGGTTGATATTGGATCTAGTTTTTGAAAGTCATCAGCTTAGAAAGCTAGCTGAGCTATGATGGAGCTAACTTGCTGCTCATTGTTTTCAAAGTTTTAAAGACATTTTTTCTAGTGCATTCAGACTTGCAACCTCAGTTCATTAAAAGAACCTGGACTACTAATCAGGCTTCTGATTGACGCACCCCATTGTTTAACCCTGAACATTAACTAGAATCACCCATGCAGCTTGAAATGCTGATGCCTGGGTTATTACCTAAACCAGTTAAATTAGAATCTGCAATGAAGGGGCCCAGGTATCAAAAACACAAAAATGCTCCAGGTGATCCTCCTGTGCAGCCAAGGACTAAGAACCACTGGCTTCTACCAATGGTCCCTTACCCGGGGCTCACTGATTTACTTTCTGATGTGAACAGTCATGAGACCTCGTTCCCCATCACCTTCTCCAGAAAGTTCAGGGAGCGACCTGCAGGCATACTGCTGGATTTTCTGAGGTCACTATTATGCTCCTTCCCACCAACACCTGTGACTTTAAGACTGCTCAAAATTTTTAAATACAGTCTCTTCTATAAAGACTAGACACCCTTAATTTCCAGGCGATGACAAATCTCAATGAAGAAAATGGGATTCTGAAATAAAAAAGTTGCAGAGTGGGTGCCAAAAACATACACAGAACTGTCTATTTATGTTCATCTTATTTCTACTCTGAGGTCAAATAACAGATTGCAAAGTCATAGTCCAAGGAACATTAGTCAACTAATAAATTTTGAAAGAATACCAACTGTTGTCCACTTTCAGTTTTAAAAATTCAATCTTAAAGGAATGTATTAAAGAGTCTAAAGAACCCACTTTATTGACCATAAATTCCTACTGTCCACAAACATTGTGACTTAGGATAAGCATTACAAAAACACACAAGTGTTTTGCAGAAGACTCTCTTTTTATACCTTTCCTATGAAATACATTTTTAAAACTGAAAACCTAACAAGATTAGTGTAGAAGCGTTCATGAAGGACAATTGTATAGAGCATTTAATTATCTAATGAGATTGAAATTTAATATATCAGGGAACTACTACTTCCCCCCATATGTAACCTTTATTACCATAGTAATGGTATATATATTCAGGTACACATCTAACTCTTTACAAACTCTGAAAATAAAAGACACATTACAAAATAAATGCATGACTACGTTATTACATCACAGTAAATTTTATCAGGGTTCCTTAAAAATTGAGTTCCCTAATCCAACTGACAAACACTCTGCCTTTTACAATCTTTAGCAATTCATTTCCTATAAAGGTATATGGCTCATTTTCTCAAATAATCAAATTTGACTATTGCTAACTAAACTCATAAAATGAAAGGCAATCACATTTCAATCTCACTGGCCTAGAATAACCAATTGATAACCTTAGAGAAGTGGTTCAAAGGTTAAGATCAGATCCAGAACATTCACCACAGATTCAGTATAATTGCTCAGTGGCTACATTCAACAAGTTTTCATCAGTTACTAAAGAAAATCTGCAAATGTATTTCTAATGATCCAGTGGCAAAAACTATAATAGATGCCTGACCAGTGTGGCTCAGTGGTAGAGCATCAACCTATGAACCAGATCACTGTTTGATTCCTGATCAGGGCACATGCCCGGGTTGTGAGCTCAATACCCAGCGGGGGATATGCAAGAGGCAACCAAGCAATGATTCTCTCTCATCAATGATGTTTCTTTCTCTCTCTCTCCCTCTTCCTTCTTCTCTGAAATCAATAAAAATACATTTTTAAAAAACTACAATAGGCAGTAACTATAATATTGACAGAACCCACAGATGGAAAAAGAACCACAAATAGTTGTAACTGTCCTGTTGTCTAATGCCTACTTTAAGTAATTTTATTAATGTTTTTCAGCCGTTAAACCTATTTTTTGGAAAACCCTCCTGTTTTCTGCCTAATACAATCAATTACAGACCAATTTTAAATTGTTTTGACGTTTAGCTAAGCCCCTTGGAACTGTTTTCCAGATTGTGTTTTCAAGCCCAGTTAATTGTTTTCTACACATGGAAATATAATCACAGACTTCTATGCAAAACTCATTAGGATTTAATCCACACAAGAGATCATCTGTGTTTGAAAAACACAGATGAAAAAGCATCATCTGCTTTCTACACAACAGTTCTGCAGCTTTCCTTTGGGAGTTTCAGTGGCACTTTAAGAAAAATGTCATCAGATTTAAATATTTTGTGTTAATTAAATGTTACTCACATAGACGGGATGGAGGTCAACGCCGTACATCTCCAGGGATTTTGCAGTCCTCAAGTAATTCAGCTCTGCTTCAGAAGGAGCCTGACCCCTGAACCCAGCACAAAAACAAAGAGCTTACTCTATGACAGCCACAACACAGGGAATGAAACCATGTTCGCCAAGTTCCCCGGAAAAAGAAGTAACCCTTTGTGCTAGTGCAAACCCAAGTCTTTGTACTGCAAGAAGCCCCTTGCCTTCTGGATGATAAAAGTGTACACCCATGGAACAAGGTGACACTTGTGTCAAGTTGATTTCATTTACTGAGTCCATTTTTGTTCACTATAGCCAGTCCCAATGTCCTAGCATCTATGAAAAATTCTCCGTTTCTGAAACCCCGAGAGATTAGTAAGAACACAAGCACTCAAATTAAGAAAGAATACCCTGACAAAAAGTATAAAGTCTCCATGCACCAGCAGCTCTCCACCAGGAGCAGGAGTGGTAAGAGCAGTGGTGGGTAGCAAGAAGAGAATGGGCTCCCCACCACCCAACTGGGGTCTCAGCACCACCTCCTGAGCATAGCAGTTTGGTATTTAGAAATTGTAAAAAATACTAATCATTATCTTAATACAAAGGATAGAATCATTCTCCAAATCTTTATTGGTGATAATATACAGAAAATAGCATTCATTCTTAATGAGGGTGAGAATTGGCCAAGAATCTCCATGCATGAGTAGAAATGGTGTGTGTGTGTGTGTGTGTGTGTGTGTGTGTGTGTGTGTGTGTGTAAGAGAGAGATATTTTTTATGGCTAACAAAAGGAGCTGTAAATTTTTAAAAATCAAGAAATTCTTTTGATGCATCTATGGTCCCTGGAAAACCCAGTCATAAACCATACTTTTCAAATCTATGAAGACCGCGACCACTCATCGAAAATCAGACACAACAAAGGTACCAAACTTTGATAAAGCTTTCTTCTCTTAGAAATAACAGTCACACTGTCAATATCATTGCATAAGATATGTAAGGCCCTTCACTCAAAGCTCCTTGATAATTTCAAAAAAAAAAAAAAAAAACCTGTACTTTAAAACACCTCGTAGAATTAATATTCTCAGAACATGCCACACACCCTGCCCTTCACAATGTTGTTACAGGCAGTGTTGTTACGAGCACCCACTTCAGCAAAACCGTAAAGTGAAGGACTCTATAATCAGCTGGAGAGCATTCTGGTGCATGCTAAAACAGGCTGGAGAGCCTGGTTTCCCTGATTGCAATTCAGCAATTGACTTCTCTGCTCCTAACTCAAAAAGATCCTTTAGGCAAACATTTTTTGTTGACCAGATTAATTCTGCATTTCCCCCCCTTCTCTATAATACATCTAAAAACAAGCAAATTCAAGAGGGAATGTTACATAAGAGGCAATAAAGCAAAGTTAATCAGTAAAGAGGATTTAACCAAAATAACTATAATTAAATTATGACTTCAATGCTACAGGCCATTCCTTGAAAATCCTACCAGGGACTCGGGTATATTCTCAGAGGTTCATGTAGTGTTAACATAATACCCTCCGAGGCTCCACACTGGTGTCATCATGATTTTCAGATTCATTGCTATAGACTGAATAGGACTTTGCTTATAACTGTGAAGAAATTACATACTTATGACTTAGCAGATCCAGAATACATTAAAGCTTTTGTGGTTATAAATTATATTTACAGTTTAAAAAAAATTTCCCAAGGTTCTGGTGACTGAAAAAGTAGAAGACTGTGAAATACAGAATATACAGCATGACTCCATTTATGTAAAATCGTACACAAACCTATACAGAATACATTTTCTCTATGGGAAATTATTCCTAGAGAGAGGTCTAAAAAGCCAGAAACAAAAAAATATCTTGACTGTTCCTATACTTTATAAATTCTTTGAATTTTCTATGAGCTTCTTAGTGTTATAAGCAGTTAAATATTTGAAAAGGAAAAAGAATACTAGAATGTTCCAGGCAAAAGTGAAGAATTTAACATTCTAGAAATTCATTGAGCCTGCCAATGGCAAAGAATTCTGGTTAATGTAATATAAAATGTTATTTTTCCTGTCTTATTGAGATATAATTAACTGATATTGTGTACATTTAAGGTGTACTGTGTGTTTGATACATTTTTAAAAAATGTATTTTTTTATTGATTTCAAACTGGAAGGGAGAGGGAGAAAAATAGAAACATCAATGATGAGAGAATTATGGATCACTGCCTCCTGCATGCCCCTACTAGGGATCAAGCCCTCAACTCGGGCATGTGCCCTGACCAGGAATCGAACAATGACCTCCTGGTTCACAGGTTGTTGCTAAACCACTGGGCAATGCTGGCCGAGTTGTTTGGTACAGTTTTATATTTCAAAATGATGGCCACCATAGCTTAGCTAACATCTCCATCTTATCACCATTTCTTTTTTGTGGTGAGACCTACATTTAAGATCTACTCTCTTTGCTCCTTTCAAGTATATGGATGGACCCTGAGGGCATTATGAAAGTAAAATAAGTCAGAGAAAAATAAGCATGGTATTTCTTGTATGTAAAATCCAAAAAAGCCAATCTCATAGAAACAGAGATTGGAATAGTGGTTCCCAGGCTGATAATCAGGTTGGGGGACATGGGGGAGACGCTGGTCAAAGATGACTAATATCTGAGGACCTAATGCACAGCCCGTTAATTATAATTAATAATGTGATTCTTACATTAGAGTTTTATGAATTCTTTCTATGGCTTCTTCAAGTTCTTCCTTCTGATCAGGAACAAACCGGTATTCTGACACATATCCTGCAGTATGCTTATATGGGTCATAATCTCCAAGTTCAGCTAAAAAAGGAAAACAATTATATATTTTTTTTCATTTTAGGAAAATATTCTCCTCCAGGATACAGAAATACACATATGGCTGTCATGCTTAAACATGTTCTTCAAATGCCTTATTAATAATTCACATATATGTAAATAGTTTTAGTAAAAAATAACTCAGATGAGCATAAATCTGAACGGTATTAAAAAAAATACCTTATCCTAAAAACATATGTTCTGTGTTTTTGCTTTCTGAAAGACTATAATTATTTTCATTCCAATTATTCTTATCATTTAAATGAAAAAAAGTTATAAACAATTTAGAGTACAGACATTGGAAATATTAGAAGTGAATAACAGCCACGACCCCAATATATCCTCTTAGACAATGACACCAAGAAATAGAGCGTGTGATTCAAAATGTATTTGCCACACATAATGGTCATGAAAATATAATACAATGCTGCACATAACCCCATTACAGTTTATACAAAGAAACAAAATGCAACCAGAAAGCTTAGTATATTATGCTTATTAGAAAAAAATCCTCTTCCTTACATTAATAATGCGCCTTACAAACCCAACCAAGTTCCTCTATGCGACATTATTCCTAGGATACTTTTTCTAGGCTGTGTCTAATCTGCAAAGGCCATTCAAAGGCAGGGAACATGCTGTTCCGTCGCCCCCATCCTCAGCCGGTCTCAAAAATGACAATGCGACCTGGAAATGCCCCCAGGGGAGCAAATACCGAAGCCACGAGCTGAAGTGCAGTGAGCGCCCAGCGTGTGCCACCCTCTGCACTGGCCTGGCGCCTGACCGCGTAGGGTCTTCACGACAGCTGCCTGGAAGCAGCGTGGTCTCTGAGACACAACAGCTCCGGGGACAATGAGCTCAGGTGGAACGGCGAGGAGAACAGATTTTCAGACCGTCCACTTCATCAAGAATCAATGCTATGCCCGCGACCAAACCCGCAGGGACCCACCACTAGGAATGTACAGCTGGCTTCATGTTGACCGCTTCCGAAGGGACCTGATTAAAACCTGATTCTGACTAAATTCCATTTCCCCCCCCAGTAGAACATCTTGATAAAAAAAAAAACAAAAAAAAACATTTTAGCATATAAACAGAAAAATTCAAACATTGTCCTCAAAATCTCTGCAGCAAATGCACGCCGGTGGAACCTACACTGCACGGCATATGCTCCCAGCTGAGCAGCGGTGCTGGCCGGGCAGGGCAGCCGGCCCTGAAGGACATCTTGCTTCACCTGCAGGAAAAACTGGTATCTGAAAGAGAAGTGGAAAACGAGATTAATGGTATCGTACACTACCCAGACCTGCAGCTTCAGAGCCTGACGAATGGAAATAAAATGCTTCCTGGTTTTTTGTATGAAGGGGGCTGCTGCGTGAACAGACTGTAAGCACCCTCTGCGGGGGCAATGCAGGGTAGAGACTAAAAGAGAAGGCACTCCACGTAGACTGGCTGGACTGCATCCCATCCCTGCCCCGCAGGCGGTGGCTGCGGTCTGCTGCCTGACCTCTCTAACAGCCACCTCCTCACCTGGAAAACTCAGGGAGGCAAGGAGCTATCCCTCACACGGCTGATGTGGAGGTTCCAAGTAAGCTACTGTTACATGGTCATTACCGACAAGGCCACTGCTGGGATAACCTGCTCCTAATGGGAGGAACAAATCGCAAGGACCCAGCCCTGATGACGTGTTATCTACAGGGTGTAAAATCATCCATGCAGGACAAAAGGTCACGATAGTGTTGTTCCATCAATCCTCCTGCTTATTAAGGCTCTGCCCATTATCTGCAGTTTTGCTCCTTCCATTTGCCTAAAGAAAACCTGTTATCATAATAGTGCCACCCACTTTTCTAAACACTATAAATCTAGTAACTCATTCCAAGTGTTTTACATACATAACGTAAGACTTTAAAATCAAGTCAGGACTATTATCACGTCCATTTTGCAGATGAAGAAACTAACAACACAAAGAGATGAAGTAACTTGTCCAAGGTCTCATAAGAGCTAAGGAGCAGAGCCAGACCTGGATTCCAGGGCACCTGACCCTAGATATCTCTTAATGAGGGTGCCAGGCAACTCTGGCTAGCTTCCCACCCTCCACCTACCCACCCTTCTTTCAGGCTTTCTGCCAGTGGGTTGAGAAAGGCCAGAGGTTTATGAATCAATACAATGAGTCATCAACACAAGCCCCAGCCACCATCTCTCTCTGTTTCTTTCTCTATCAGATACACACACACACACACACACACACACACACACACACACACACACACACACATATGAGGCTGTCCTTTGTGACTTATCTTTCTTTGCAACATGTCATAGGGAAGGGGCAGGAAAAAAAAAAAAAAAAGCAAAGAATAAATTCTAAAAATCAGTTGTGATAAATTTCTCTTTTCCAAATGCTCACCACCAAAGCCCTTAGTGAGGATATCCAAATGTTAGCCACTACTCGTATTATTTCTAGAAGACTGATATCCACTTTGTGCCCACAGGCTTAAGTGAAAACATGCTTCCCAGCCTGTGCTTTTCCACTGCCAATAAATGGCACCACAGTTCTCCAGACACCCAAATAAGAGAAACCTAGGAACAATGTGTAAGCCCTGGCACCCACATTCCATCTCTAAACCTGCTGTTCTGGGAATCTATATACTTCTTTCCATCTCCTACTCCAAGTCATTACCCACTGGATTTCTAAAACCTTCATGTTCTGCCATCATTCACACTAATCTCCCTTCCAAACCACCTTCCCAGGAGGTAAATAGGATCAGGTCTCTCCCTTGTTTAAAAAAACAAAAACAAAAACAACCCTAAATTCTTCAGGATTAAGATCAAGATCCTCAAGATAGCTTGTTAAGACCTCTGCTTACTTCCTGAGCCAAATCTCTTGCCATGGACTTCCTGTCACCACCACTCCCTGTCATTCACATTTTCCAGCTCCCCTTAGTTACTTTCCACTCCCTGAATGCTTGGCCACCAAATCCACTTTGTCGTAGTCATCTGGGCTCCTCTTGAAGAGGAGTAAAGTGATATTAGCAGAAACTAAATGCAAAACCTTATCACTAAAGAAACATTTCACTAGAATTACTACTGCTTGCTAGAAACTTGCATTTAGCTACACTCTCTTTCTCTATTGTTACCTTGGAATTTATTTTCCTGAAGTGTTTTTTTTTTTTAAGAAAATGGGTCACAGATGAATATTTGTCTTGCTGTATTAAGACATTTATAACATCTGACTGAATAGTCAAATCCTTTGCCAAATACAGAAACTGAGAGATCTGCTCCCATAAGAGTTTGCTTCAAAGAGAAAGGAAAAGAGAAACAGAGGGAGGTGAACAACAAAGGCACAGCTGGAACAGAGAAAGACAGATACAAAGGACAGGAACCATAACCCATTGTTAATTCTACTCCCACTCTGGAGGGCTCAGCACACAGTAGCTACTCAATAAAGAACTGCTGTCTTGATGGATGGCCATATGAATGAACAGATGGATGCATGGAAATGGGGAAAAAAACCTGAACATTCTTTGCTGCCTCTGAGAAATTCATGAAGAAAAAGAAAAAAAGGACATCTGTTCAAACTTCTCTAGATAACATGCCTTTCAAAGACACTAGAAATCTTTAAGTTGTTGCATAAAAAATCCAATAAAATCAAGGAAGACAAGTAAACTATTTTTAATTAGAAACTTGATTAATCTTTATGATAGCAAGCATTATGTTAGTTTTATATAAGACAAATTTACGACACAGTAAATTCTATTTTTATATGCCAAATAAACACTATATAGTGGTCCCATTTGTAATTGACTGTATACAAATCATTTTGTCCATTTTATGGACTTAGAGTACACCAAATATTTTACTTAAATTGCAGATTTAGAGTAGCTGGGCCTTTTCATCTGTCATTCTTTCTTTTCTTTCTTTCTTTTTTTTTTTTTTTTTTTTTTTTTTAATTGATGTTAGAGGAAAGGAGGAAGGGAGAAAGAAAGAAACATTAACTTGTTCTACTTATTTATGCATTCACTGGTTGATTTTTGTATGTTCCCTGACCAGGATCAAACCCACGACCTTGGCATATAGAAATGAAGTTCTAGTCCACTGAGCTACCCAGTTAGGGCTCTTAATCATTCTGATTAAGGCTATGAATGGATACTTGAGTCATTTTTTATTTCCAGTTTTAGGGTGAATCTACATTCTAGTTTACCTAGGACAGTTCTAGTTGTGCCTATTATACATGCCTAAGTATTAATCTCCTAGTCATTCTGCAGTGTCAGGGTTTGAACAATAAAGTATATTGTGACTCTAGTTGTATTTTACCCCTATTGGGGGGGGAAAGATGCTGACTAAAAATGATCCACTTAATAAGGAAGCTTTCCAGAACACATTCAGATGCAAAGCAGAGCTACATAAAGCAACCACTGGCCATCTTTTTGTTAAATTACCACACTGGTGTGTATGCATTATCTACCAAGCTAGACGTGGGCTCTGGGGAAGAAGTGCTCCACCTTCCCTTACTGCAACACTACAACCAGTTCAGCACAAGAGAAGGGCTGAAATACTGGCCTCACAGTTTCCTGTGGACCTGCTGTTCAATAAAGACAGCTGAATTGATACCAATGATGTTCGAACCATGAACAATTTAGCACGTATCAGAGGCGAGAAGAATGGGCAAAGAAGATTTGCTCAGAGAAAGGGCAGAGAGACCCTGTTCTTTCAGGAGCCCAGACAGAAGGTTCTCCTGAAAGACAGCCAGGAATGCTCACACCAAACAGCCTGAGGAGCACCTGACCTGAGGCCCTGGTCAGGAATCTGAAAGGCGTGGGGACAAGCAGAAGTCTGATTTTTGGGTGCCAGCTAAACGTGACCTTGAAGGAGAGTTCTATCTACACAGAAGCAGGATTGGATTCTGCACCACAGATAGGGAACACAGCCCGGGACAGCAAGTGAATCACTTTGGATTAACTTCAATGCAAGAGACAGAGGGAAATGGTTAAATAGTAGCATAATATTAAACACTGTGGAGGAAATAGGATAGCTTAAGAAGAAAAATAGTAGAGGAAGCAACCACTAATTCTCAAGAGAAAGGGACAAAGAAGTTCTGGAATAACACTTTAGCCTCGGAGGTTTAAAACTGATGGTAAAAATACTGGAAAAGTAGCAATAGTATCACCTTACATTTGTATAACCCACTAAAGTTCACAAATTTCTTTTGTATCCAACTGGAAATCAATCCTCCCTTCAACTCTGATGAACTAAGGACCACTATCTTCATGAGGAGACAGGGATTCTGGAAGTGGACATGTAACTGAAGGTCACTCAGCTACCAAAGAAGCTGAAACAAGCGAATCTCCACAACGTGAAGAATATGAACCACTAAAGTAGTAATAATAATTACCAAGCTTAATGTCAATCCCCAGAAAATACTATAAAATATTATAAAACAGAGACCCGTTTTCAAAAGCTAAAAAGTGTTAATTATGAACCAGTCATTTGGAACTAACATTATTTTCTTTTTGTAGAAATAGTTGTTAGATCCTTAAAAGTTCAGGCAAATTTCAATGGCATCACAGATAGCATTGTCAGCAAAGCAATGCAGTCTGCCTGTCCTTTCTCCTCGGACTGATACCATATCTTTCTTTAGTCCCTACTGAATCTCCTTGGTACTCAGTGCACTGGAACACGATGCTCCAAGCAATTACTGAATGAAGGTAAATGAGTGAGTGAATTCTGTCTTTTCATACAAATTCAGGAAATGTAGGCTAGAGGCAATAGTAGAATAATTCATAGTTAAATGAACAACTACATCCAGGAAGTTCTCTATAGTGGATTGATTTTAACCTGAAAGACCTGTCTCAGGACTCCAGTTGGTCTTTTCCTCCCTAGTTTTGTAATCAATAATTTGAAAATTATTATTATTGTTTTCATTTAAGCTAACTGTGCCATCTACTTAGATTTTTGCATTATAAGCACTTTGCATGTATTGTCATATATTCCTCCAATGTCTTTTTGAAGATATAGTTTAATTCCATTTTACAGATGAAAATCCTATATAATAAAAGGCTAATATGGAAATAGACTGAATGGTAGAACAACCAAACAGCTGGTCACTATGACGTGCACTGAACACCAGGGGGCGTGCGGAAAAATGGTGGCCATCGGCTATGGCAGGATGGTGGAGCAGATGAGCAGGGGTGCCAGACCAAGGTAGGGCACTGGTTGCTGTCATCAGGGCAAGCCTCTGGTGGTTACTGAAAATTCTTTGCTCCTGCACTCCCCAATCCCCCTCCATACCCCCAGTGCTTGCACCTGCTGCTGGCACCAGCCCCTCTCACACCCACTGCCGGCATCCAGTGCCAGCCCCCCAATCGCTTGGCACCATCTGCAGGTGTGAGCAGTGGCTTCTGGCCCCAATCGCTCCTCAGGGCTTCTCCAACTCCCCCTGCTCCTGAGGGGTGATCAGGGCCAGCAGCTGCCTCTCACACCCACTGCCAGTGACAGCCCTGTTCACACCCGTTGCTGGCACCAGAGCAGCAGCTCACACCCACTGCCAGTGCCAGTCCCACTAGCACCCGCAGCCAGCACCCAGCACTGGTCTCGATTTTTTGGCACCGTCAGTGAGTCTGAGCGGCAGCTGCCAGCCCCAATCACCCCTGAGGCCTTCTCCACCTCCCCCTGCTCCTGAGGGGTAATCGGGGTAGCAGCTGCCACTTACACACACTGAAGGCTCCAGGCACCAATCACTCCATGCCGTCAGCAGGAGCGAGTGGGGCTGGCATTATCAGCAGGAGCGAGTGGGGCAGCATTGTCAGCACCTGGGAGCAGCGGCAGTGGGAACAGGGCTGCCAGCAGACAGGGGACCAGGGGCTGCCATGGGAGGGGCCAGGCGGGAATGTGGAGGATGGGCCGAGACCCACCTTGTGCCCACCGTAGCCTCATGGCCCACAGCTCTTTTCAAGGTGCACAAATTCGTGCAGAGGGCCCCTAGTACAGATTATACTAATAAAAAGGTTAGGTAAGCTTCTCAAGATTACACAACAAGTGAGTAGCAGAGCAAGGAAGCAGACCTCAGCCTTTCTGATTCCAACGCCCATCTCCTTAACCCATACTGCATTATGCTCATCAAATGTCCAGAGGGCTCAGAGCTATGAATGACGTGGAATACACGGAAGGCTGTCATAATATTTTGAATTAGAATTTAAGATAAGTTTAACAGATATCATGAGGACACGAATTACTTTAAGGACTGACAAGAGGGGAGAGATTATATATTCTGCAATAGACCTAGGAAAGAAACCTAGTTCCAGGCACTTGTTACTGAGTTTCCCATTGCTTTGTGAAGAGTAAGGTTTTCTATCTTTAAAATATTTATGAAGAAGTTGGCTGGCATACCAGGGATGTTCTATAAAGGTGAAGGTTAGGATATATGACCTTGGAGCCCCCAAACTTTGTTTATATCAGCACACGTTTTTGAGCACATTAACAGGTACTCCCAGTTTATATGATTCTTTCCCTTACATTTCTCATGGTCTGGTACCTTACTTTCCTATGTATCGCATTCACCTTTAGCCTTTTGTTCTCTAAATCCTTCTGGAATACTACCTAGTATAAGCATATATGTACATGAGGAGATTCAATGCAGCACTATCTATAATCTTTAAAAAGGAAACAAGCTGGAGAGTGCACCACAAGGCATAGCCAAATAAATTGTGTAATACCATGCAGGAGTAAAACGAATGGACTCCATAGTGCAAGACATCTGAACAATAGGTAGGAAACAATGATTACCAAAAAATGTGGAAGAATTGGTGTGTATAAGCATGTTTACCACAGTATTATTTTTCATATAAAACATTATAAACAACCTAAGAGCCAATACAGAGGAGGCCAGAATTTTTTTCAAAAGAACTGAAGCAAGATAAAGGTTCAATTTGAAAAGGTAGCCTAAGTAGACTCATCTTTTAATAACATGTACTGGAGCCAAAACCGGTTTGGCTCAGTGGATAGAGCGTCAGCCTGTGGAAAGGTTCGATTCCAGTCAAGGGCATGTACCTTGGTTGCGGGCACATCCCCAGTAGGGGGTGTGCAAGAGGCAGCTGATCGATGATTCTCTCTCATTGATGTTTCTAACTCTCTATCCCTCTCCCTCTCTGTAAAAATCAATAAAATATATTAAAATAATTTTAAAAAATAACATATACTAGAGAATTTTGTTTTTTTTTGTTTCAGATTTTTCTTTTGCCAAAATTATCTCATGCAATCCACTCCTTTTAAAAAGTCCATTTGGCCTACCAACTTAAATTAACATATTCATGCAAATCATTGACTTTATCTTCAGGACACAATGAGAATAAGTGCACAGTAATATCACACTAAATACACATTTAATTTATCTAAATTCAACTATATGTCTTTAGCATTAAAAAGAAATTATAAATTGTGGTCATTACATGTAAGCCAATTATATCATTTGGTTCTTAACTATATTATCTGGTCTAATACTTGAGGAAAAGCAGGTGGTACTGAATTATTTGTGGGTTTGTACATAACACAAATCTATGTATTCTGTTAATGAGCTGTTAGGAAATGTCTGGTCATCATTACTATCTGGTGAACAGATGGGACGTAATGCATTATAAGACACTGTTCTCCCTCCCCCTCCCCTGCCTTCTTAATATTAAATCATTTATCTTTTGGAACCTAACCCTCATGTAAGATGGAACTCCAATAAGCTGCAGAACTAGGAGAAAATGAAATAATAAATGCTAACATTTATCAGGCACTTACTATGAGGAAAACACAACAAACTACAGTTGACCCTAGAGCAGCATATGGATTTGTGGAGCTGATGCCCCATGCAGTTGAAAATTCATACATAAGTTTTGGCTCCCTCAAAACTTAATTATTAACAATCTACTGTTGATTAGAAGCCTTAAATAGTCAATACATATTCTATAACTTAAGTTATATCCAATAACTTAAACAGTCAAGACATATTCTGTAAGTTACATGTGTTATATTGTATTCTTACAATAAAGCAAGAGAAAAGAAAATCATAAGGAAGAAAGAATACATTTACAGCATTTATTGAAAAAAAGTCTAACATACAAGTGGACCCACTCAGTTCAAACCAATGTTGTTCACGGGTTAACTGTGTAAGAGTTTCACATACGCTGTTTATTCTATTGAATGCTTACAAAAACCTTATGAGACAGGCACATCTCTAATTCTCGTCAAAGAAACTAAGGCACAGAGAGGTTACTGACAACCTCAAAATGAAGGACTTTTCTTGTATTTTCATAAAACGCTGTTTCCTTACAAGTCCCTAATGAATTACAGACATTAATGTGCTTTTATATCACTAGGACTCAGTTTCCCCATGAGCCCACAACTCAGAAATCCTTCTAGGCTGCAAGACTATTCATAAAATTCTTGTTAATACAATCCCACTCTTCAGCATCTCCCAACATACTGGTCCTCCTCCCACAGAGGTGTGCTCACAGAAAGCTGAATGGACAGGCCTGCTTTCCACATGCTCACTCACAACGTGGTGATAGACAACGTGAACGCAGACATCAGCTCAATACTAAAAAAGAGGCCTAATTACAGCACTTCAGAATATAACAGAAAATACCCAATTAAATCACTCTTTTGTGTGCAGTTTAGAATCAAGACAAAACAAAGACTAAAGAAAAAGATGAAATGTGCAATTTAGTCACAGGTGGAATAGTGAAAATATCACAGGACTGCCTGCTCTTTATAAACCACTTTCAAACACTGGCATGAGCCATTTTAACAACAGAATCAACACCAATTGAAAATTCTGCCTTAACTGAAATAAAACATTTGATGACAAAGGTGAAGTAATACATCATAAAACACTAAAAACACCTTTTTCATTTCCTACAGAGATATAAGTGAAACCCCCAGACAGCTGACATTTAAGCTATAACCAATTAAAAAGAAATAACTGGCTCTTCAACTTTATATTTATATATACAAACTGAGCATCAAAATATCTCCCTTTACCCAGTTCAAACGGCTACTTTTATGACTTCAGAGGCTGACTGTGTCCTTCACAAGAATGATACGGAAATATCCCATCGCAGCAGATGCAAAATCTATCATTGTGTCACCCAGGTGCATACCATTGTTTATACACATCTATCATCAGACATGGATCTGCCTCATGCAATGCTGGTTTAAATTTAACTCTCGCGGGAGATGCATTACAAAACACAGGTAGACATGCATCCAAATGGTTAGCTCCATTTTTTAAATAAAGCCTTTGTATATACATACATGTACTATTCAAAAGCAAAGTCAAATACTGTACCTGGTTATTTCTTCTTTAAGCTTACATGGATCTTCAGCATAGAATTTAATACCAAAATACAAAGTATATGGAGGTCCAGCTAAAATAAATAGAAATTAATTAGATTTAACATTATAAATTAGGTAAAGTAGTAGTGTAATATTATACAACTATTAAGAATTATATTTCCAAAAATATTTATAAGCAATTTACTAAATAAGGGGTTAAAATCCAAAATATGAGGAACCCATACAATTCAATAGCAAAAACAAAACAAAACAATGTATGTCTATTTAGGTGCTTTGCCCCCCTTTTTTTTTATTGCTTTTGGCCAACAGCTACACGAAAAAGTTCTCAACATCGCTACCCACCAGGGAAATGCAAATCAAAACTACAAGAAGGCATCCCCTTACACCTATAAGAATAGCTATTATCAAAAAGACAACAGTTGGTAGGAATGTAAAAAAAAAAACAAAAAAAACAAACCACAACGAAAGTGTTGGTGAGAATGTAAATTGGTACTGCCATTATAAAAAATAGTATGAAAGTTCCTCAAGAAATTAAAAATAAAGCTACCATATCCCACTACTGGGCATTTATCCAAAAGAAATGAAAGACAGATCTTAAAGAGATAGTTACATTCCCATGTTCATTGCAACATTAGTCAGAATAGCTAAGATATGTAAGCAATCAGAGTGTCTATAAATGAAACAATAGATAAATAAAATGTGGTACACCCACACCCACACACAATGGAATATTATTCAGCCAAAGAAAAGAAGGAAAGACTCCAATTTGAGATAACATGAATGAAACTTGAGAATTATGTTTGGTGAAATAAGCCAGGCACAACAAACAAATACTACCTGATCTCACTTAATATGTGGAATCTAAAACAGTCCCACACAATATAAAATAATATTGAATGTGAACTATAACTGAAAATAAAATTTTAAAAAGTTAAAAAATATATAAAATAAAATAGTCATGCACATAGATGCAAAGGTAGAATGGTGGTTGCCAGAGCCTGGAGGAGGTGAATGAGCAAATGTTGGTCAAGAACATGAAGTTTCAGTTATACCAGATGATTGAGCTCTGGGAATCTAATGCACAACCTGGTGATATTAGTTATTGATAGTGTGTTGTATAATAGAAATATGCTAAGAGGATAAAACTTAAAATTTCTCACACACACAGATAACTATAAAGAGGTAATGTATGTATGCATATATCTAAACCTAAACATCAAGTTGTATTTCTCAAATATACAATTTTTACATGTCACAGCTATCTCAATAAAGTTATTTAAAAATTATACTCACCAAGAATTTCTAAAGACACAAGGAAATACAAAATGAAGTAGGTACACAAAAGACAACCAAGACTACAGCCCCACTCCTCTCCCTCATCCTGGGTAGGCACTCCTTATGCTAGACCTTCTTTAAAAACTAAATTCTAAAAGAAACTTGGTTGTAATGTTTTACCATTAGAGTTGATCCATATGTTTGATTTCTACGTTTAGTTAACCACTGTGCTTCTGACAAGCACACCTCTCTCCCTGAATACAGGTGTTGGGGAGGAACAGACTATTAAATATTAAATATTTAGAAGAGCCAGGAAGTCCACCCTCTGCTGATCCATCTTTGTCAATCAAGCCCTGAGTTACTGAGCAGATGGGTCGGCCTGTGCCGGCAGGCCTCTGGGGCTGGTGTCTGGGGGCAGGAAGAGCACAGATGCTGCTGAGACTGTGCACAAAGGGAGTCCAGAGCTGCTTTTACCCTCTGGAACATGACAGGTGACACCCTCCTGACCAACCAGCCACTTCAAACGTGTTTGATGACGAGCGATTTTGCAGAAGTTTGAAAACTACACAATTGGAAACGTTTGGTTTGGGCTAATTTTCTTAAAGGACTGATAGCCCCCTTACACATAAAAATGGTGTGTGTTATAAATATAAGGCATCATTCCCATTTGATTGCATTGGGTAAAGTACAAAAATGTTTCCTAAACATGTGATTCTCCACAGCCACCTGGTAATGCACACAGGACAGTTGAAGCTCCAAGGAGGGAAGCAACTTGCCTAAGATCATAGGGATCACAAACTAAGAATCAAGTTTGCTCCTAGCGTTCAGTGCTTTCTGGCCACTATATCATACAGCCTCTCGGGAAAGAAATTATAATAACTATAGAATAAGCAAAATCTTTCATAAACATCACTGCTTTATACATCAATCAAAGGCCATGGAAATGGACATTTCTGGAGCAAGGCTATGTCTAAGACTGACTATAAGAAATAGGTGCTTATGAAGCAAATTTCCAAGTTACTATAATCTTGAATCCATGTCTTTCCACAATCTACCTTTAAGAAACCCTTATGCAAAGTAAGTCAATATTATTTCACGTTAGCAAAAAATACAGAAGCCAGAAGCTGGGAATCCTCTAATCTACCTTCTGAAGACTAATTTCAAGACCTTTAATGGTAATAAAAAGTCCTCCAGCCCAGCGGGTGTGGCTTAGTAGTTGAGTGAACCAGGAGGTCACAGTTCAATTCTGGGTCAGGGCACATACCTGGGTTGCAGGCTCGATCCCCAGTAGGGTGTGTGCAGGAGGCAGCCGATCGATGATTCTCTCTCATCATTGATGTTTCTCTTTCCCTCTCCCTCCCTCTCTCTGAAATCAACAAAAACATACATATATTTTTTAAAGTCTCCCATTAATACAGAATTTAATAAATCAAGACTTACCCATGAGAATCCTGGTGACTAGCAAGTATTCTGTCATTTTTATAGCTATTTTTTCTGACTGATAGATATCATACATATTGAAGATGTGAGAGACACTCTCCTCCATTAATTATCAAACTATCTCATGAGATAAAAAATAAAGATTATGTATTCTTCAGTTAAATAATCTTTCTGCAATAGTAATATCAACGTTTTAGTCTTTTTAAAATATATTTTATTGACTTCAGAGAGGAAGGGAGAGGGGGAAAGAGAGAGAGTGTGAAATATCAATGATGAGTGAGAATCATTGATCAGCCTCCTGCATGCCCCCTACTGGGGATCAAGCCTGCAGCCTGGGCATGTGCCCTGAGGATGAATGGAACCTGGGACAGTTAGGTTGCAGGAGGACGCTCTAGCCACTGAACCAAACCGGCTAGGGTAAGGGCACTTCTTAATTACTGACTCAGCAAAGTGAATGGTATGACAAAGCCTACTCTTACTCAAGAAATACAAGTACTTTAATGGGTTAAATATTCACTTTTTTCCAAATCAGAGCTTCTCTGCCTTTTTTATTTTAAGGTGAAAATTTAAAGACAAGCAACTAGAAAATTAACTAAAGTCACTAGCAGGTATACACCAAGCAAATTCAATACTAAGACCCAGTCAGTCTTTATCAACTGGAATTTCATCAGAGTTTGCAGAGACCCAGCAATAAACATACACCCATTTCCATATTTTGTACTCATCCCCACAGTACTGGAGCCTATTTCAGTCCCCAACTAACCACAGGCATGATATCATTCTCAAGGCATCCCTTAACAAGGTTAAAATTAAATACCTACTAAAAATATAAAAATAAATTAAATACCTACTGTTGATCAGTTCTTTGTGTTCAGCAAGGGTTTTTGCAGGATCCAGCCAATACTGTGTGAGGAATAAAAGGGATAATTATAAGAATTAGTTGCTTTTCATTAGCCTTTACTTCAAAAACATTCAAAAATGTTATTTTAAATTACATTTAAATAATAAGGAAAGCATTTAATTTATTATCTAGACACACAAACATACATAAGAGCTTTCTGTGGCTACAACATTAAAAGAAAACTATGTCAACATTCAGAGAGCAGCAGAGAGGAGAAACAGTACCTGCTGGGCTCTTAGTTGAATTCTAGCGCTGACTGCAATATCAAGTTGCCCGTGAATGCATCTTACTGCTTTGGGTGGCAAAACAATGGCCATGGAGAATGCCACCCTTCTCTTACCAAAATCCCCATCACAGCTCCCCCTACAGTTAAGTATGTCTCCCCCTAAAACTTCCTCATCCTCTTCACTTCCAGTCCCGTCTCTTACAGGAGCTGCTGCTAGATGGAAGGAAGAAAGCTAGCAAATAAAATCAAATCCTGCTGAGGTGACCAGGAGAGGTGGCTCAGTGCAGTGGCTGAAGGTCTGTGTCCCAGGACCGATCCAGGTGGATTCTGCCCTGACTCTCCCCTCGTCATCACCATGGCACTAGGAGCAAGATACTGGACCGTCTCTGAATCTTCCTCATAGGCTTGCTGAGAGGATTAAATAAGTTAACTCATGGACAGTCTTCAGAATAGTCCCTGTTTCATACTAAGTTTGCAACACATGCTAGTGATATGATGATGAAGGTATGAGGTCATTCTTAACCAGCCTATGGTATTTGCTTAATTAAATTAATTTAAATTAATCTTTAATGAGCAGACTCTTAGAGAGTGATAGGAGAATTTTTGGCCTAGGCCTCCCCCTTGTAAAATAAAATCACTGGGAGAAAAAGGAACACACCTCCAGCCCCATCTCTGCACCTGCGGGAAGAACAAGCAGACGCACAGGAGGGGACATCTGGATCCCCCTAGAAATACACACTGGGGGGACTCTCCTCGGCTATTCCTGCCAAATACTGGAATCCAGAGGGCCTCGCTAACCAGTTTCCATTCTCTTACATTTCTGAATGAATAAGGGTCAATTCTCACAGCAGGGGGGTAGGAGCTGGTCCACCCTGAGCCACTGGATTCACAGCACGCGTGTTCACCTGATGAAAACATTTCCACTCCCCCGACACTCCTAGGTCAGGAACCAAGGGTCTAAAAGGGATCCAAAAGAACCCTCCTGCTCAGGTCCCCCTTCCCTGCCCCTCTGCTTGCTCTGCTACAGAACAGTAGCAGTAACTATAAACATGAATTATAACTTACCTTTTAGTCCTAATTTCATTTAATATGATAATAATTAATCATACTACTAGTAAATATGTGACATAATCATTTTAATATAACATTTTATTACAGGACTAAAATGTACTCATATATATGTATAATCTTCACTATTTGCACTCACGGAGTAGTTTAAATTTTTCAACTTTTAAAAAAGTAAATACCTATACTTATAATGCAATGTTTAATATTCTGCTTCTTACCAGTTCTTGACTGTTGAAAGTCTAAAATTACTCACTTTTAAAATAAAATTTAAAAAGATATTTGAAGTAGAGGCTATCATTAATGAGTTGCTTTTGGAGCCCACAGTGACCAAAGATGTGGCTCTAGTGTTAAAATAATCATTCATATGAAAACACTGATTCATACAAGTAGAGAAAATCAACCCAAATGTTAAGCTGTGTGTTGGACACAGAGCAGACCTGTTCCCCTAAGTATATAAAGCTATGAACACTTCTCATGGAACGAAAACAATAGGCGGGTGGACTGTTTCTTGCCGCTGATGTTAAATAAAAAGGTTTGACTACCCCTGGATTTTTCAAAGGAGATAAAAGCAATGAAAACACACACAACTAACCACTTTTAAACACTTGCTTTCAGTACCATGAGGAATAAATTTCTGTTGTTGAAAAAATAATAAAATAAACACTTGCATTAGACTTCTATTGCTGCTATAGCAAAGTATCAGAAACTTAGAAGCTTACAGCAATACCCATTTATGATCTCCAAGTTCTGAGATAAGGTAGTTTCTCACAAGACCAAAATCAAGAGGTCAGCTGGAGTCCCGGAAGGTTATTTGGTGAGGGGACCCTATCCATAGGAGCCCTTCAGGGAGGGGACTTGGAGTTGAGCCATTAGAGGCTCTCCATTCCCCCTCTAGTGTCAAGGAAGCATAATATTAAGCTTTTCCTCACACTTACTAGTACACATGAGGACTCGGAGAGCGTTTGGGGCTAGAAAGAGGGAAGAGAAGGGGCCTCTGGTCCGATTACTCCATCTAATCTCACCTTGAAACAGGTAAGAACAGAAATTGGACAAAAGCTTCTCATCTCCCCTTCTAACATCATCATTCCAAGAAAACAAATTTTACAGATTCCTAAAACCAATCTTTTTTTTTTTTTTTTGCCTCCAAAATGTTTTTTGGTCATTAAAAAGCCAGGTAAATAAAACAAAAAGAAAACTTAACTAATTGTAACAGGAAAGACTAAAAATCTTCACATTACTAATAAGCTATACACTTTAAAAATAAATCCCTTTCCTTGAGAGCAATCTGATTTGTGAGATAAAATATATAATGAAGGTTCTGAGAAAATTACAATTTTGAAGAAGAAAAAAAAAAAGGTCAAAACTCAGTAAAAGATGTTTGATCAGCTTCACTGCACATTAGCTATGCTGAGCATCAACCCCGCACTCATTCTGCACAAATCTCATTTGATCCCAATGAAAACCCAGGGTTATAGAGGTCGGACAATGATAAATGCTCCAGAACAGAACTAATAAACATAAGCCACCAGGTTTCATAAGCTAACATCTTAACATGTAAAACCCACTTACGCTCAACCAAGAGGAAGAAATGACCTTGAAACCAAAGCAGCCATACTATGACCACATTTGTCACTGCTCATTATCAACAAGCAATCAAACATAGCACATCTGGTCACCACGAAATACATCAGGCAGTTATTCTATAACCAATGAGAAAAAGGGGCACAAGAATTTTCCAATGAACAGAATATCCCAATTTTAACAACTACATCGAGGGTATCCACCTACACCCAGAAAAGATGTCAGCTCTGAAACTGTGCATCATTCATTCATTCAATTAACATTCCTGGAACACTATAGTGCTCTCTGTATGTGATGTCAGACTTTGTCCTGGGTGGTGTGGGAAAACAAAAATGACTAAGACCTAGGCCTAACATTGACTAAGACCTAGGCCAAACCTAGCAGGAGACAGGGAACCAGAATTACAATCCAATGCTGTAGTGCGATAATAACACATATAAAATGAGATAAAATTATGTACAAAGGAAATTACCTCTGCAGGGTGAGTGTAGGAAGTGTCACTGAAGAGGGAACCTTTGAACAGTGTGTTTATAAATAAATAAAAACTTGCCCAAAGTACAGAAATGGAGGAAAACAGAGCCTTAAATGTTTATACAAATTATGTCTACCAGCTCAACTGCTCTTAAAGCAAATGGGTTCATTTCTAACTGACAACACAGAATGCAACACTGCAGGTCCTTAATAGTCAAATGCTGTCCTGAAATCAGTGCTGCAAACAGCTAACAAATACTCAGCTAAGAAATCAGTGTTTGTGCAGGACTTCCAGAAAGAGAAATGGTCCATTCGGTCCTGTCTGTCCAGGGCAGTGGGAAAGGGAGGAGCAGAAAGCTGAGCACAATGCACTGTGCACTATGCTACAGAATGGCTTCTCTGAACTGCACTTTGGTATGAAGTCGTTGTACCCACAGAACCAGAACATGGTCCTAACCTCTTTAACAGGATACTGCGTTTGCTTTTGAAGGACAACAGGCCAAAACCACAAGTCATGAAGCTGACACATGCTCAGAGGAGAACTGACCTCCAGCTGCATCCAGAACCAGGCTTGTGCCATCCCTGCCGCACAGAACCAAAGAACCAGGACATGATGGGAACTTGAGCACCAGAACCCTTTCAGAAGCAGAGGGTCTCTGGTCCAGGAAGATCCTGTGTTGATGCCCCTTACTACAAATGGCCAAGGTCCAAGGTCCTCCAATGAAAACTTGTCCCACCAGCACTGCTGCACACCTGTTCCCCTAACTCCTTACAAACTCTCCTGGAATTCTGGGTCATGGAGTTCAGGTTTTTGGTGTGTTTTTTTTTTTTTTCTTTTTCATTTCTCTAACCCTATCCCTAAAGGAGTTCAGGCTTTTAAGCAGTAGCTTTCCATTCTCCTGGATATTCATCAATAAAATAACCAATCTCCCACCATTGCAATTCTCAGTGTTTAGAATTTGGCTCTGCTAGCTCTGGATAGACAAATTCTTTCTGTTCTGTGACATGGTCTTGCCTAGCAGGCAGTCAGAAGGAAAGAGAGCCCTATCTCTCCCAATCTCTTACAACATTCAATCTCTCAATCAATCACTCTTCTTCTTTCCTTTCCTCATTTCTCTCTTTCCAATCTCAAATTTATATGCAGCTAGATTGGATCCTGTTTTGTAGGAAGATAACATAATAATGAACAGACATGACCCTGATCTCTCATCTTGATTTCTAGTTGGTTTCCTAGCAAAGGAGAACGTTAACAGACCCCAATCCTGATACCCAATCACTGAGAGTCCAGATGACAGCCCTCCTGGCTCAGATGCCTTGCGAGGGTACAAGAGGCCAGCTAGTAGGTGGTCTTAACTCTTCAGTCTTGTCAGTCTTAATGTCATTTATGTAATTTGGGGAGAATGGCAGATGGGCACATGTTCCTTCTTTTTCTCTGACAGTCTTGGCTAAACGCCCTGAGTTTGTTTCATTCACCTTGGCTAATAATGTCTCAATTTCATCAATATTCTAGGTAACAGAACAGAATTAGATCTTAAAATTCTAACAATGTCCAATAAATCAATATCCTAACCTTCAAAAATTCACTATATCAAAACAACCCCTTGATCTAAAGGAGTATAAAAAGGGATGACCATCCATAAGGAACAATGGAGCCAC